GTACTATTACGCATTCAAAAGACTTTACAAACTGTATGTTGTATGTTACGCGATAACCGTGTGAACCGATTATGATGATTCTTTCTTGTCAGAAAGAGAAGTTCCTCAATATCGGTTCCATTTAAATTTCAAGAAAATATTCCACCTCTAAGGGTGTCAAACTAGTCCCCTAGTGAGTGAACCTAAACTAAACTGCCTCTGTGGCTGAACGGTTATCATGCTGGATATAACGCAGAGGTCCCGGGTTCGATTCCCGGGTCGGGAGAAATGTTTGTATGGCCTACATTTACTTCTCTCGTGAGTTTTGGTGTAATTTGTGGTTATCTAAGTGTGTGTCCATGGCACCCGCGATACTGGGTTTCTCTAGTGCGGGGCTATGAGTGTGTACGATTTATTATTATTATTATTAACCCGGTTACGCGCACTTTCCGGTAACCGATTTCAATAAAACTTGGCAAATACGTGTAATTCCACGAACTTTCGAGGTCGGTTTTTTTAGTCCTTTGTACTGAGATTACTGAGTATCAAGGTGAGACGGTGGCTAAAAGACTCATTGGTACTGTTTGTCATAGATTATGGCGATATTGTGCATGGTCCCTGTTTGTATAAAAAGACTATGCGAAAACTTCAAAGGGTTCAGAACTCTTGTATAAGGTTTTGTTACAGTGTGGCATCTCGTTCTCTTAAAACTCCATTTCTAAATACTTTTAATATTTTAGACATGATTAGCAGGCGAAATTTAAAATTGAATGGGCTCATATTCAAGTTACGATTTAGTAGTACGCTCCAGTATTTGATAAATTGAACAACACTCGACAAATTAGATAATATCCAATGTTGCAAATGCGGATTCGCCCACATCTGACGTCATTCAGAGTCAGATTCCGCTTCGCCGCCTCTAAATGTTGGAATGGCCTTCTACCAGCGATGAAGACGGCTGAATCTTTTGATACTTTCAAACGAAATTGCAAGGAATTGCTTATTGTGCAACAGAAGTCGTGTTGCTGGTCGGTTGTGGAACGGTAGTCCGTAGTTGACTGTTAGCAACACATAAAGAAGTGGTTCGACTGATGGTAACGGCTTCACGCCGCCTGTCCGTAAGAGTTGCAGTGCCACTCAGCGCTTTAATTCGCAAATATCTGAATGGGCACTGCCACTGCGCCCGTCACTCTGAGACATAAATTGACAAATCCTATGTGCCTGTAATTTCGCCGGCACCTTTATCCCTCAAAACCGAATCACAGTAATGCTGTCATTACTGCTTCTTGGCGGTAGAAATAGGTAAGGTGGCAGTACTTTCTTGGACAAACTCTTTTACAAGAAGCTCTACTGCTGTATTTGTTTATTTATGTGTGTAAGTGTTTGAAGAATAAAGTCCTGTTTAATTGTAAAGATTTAGCTTAGGGTACATTTATAGATGGCGTTACTAGACGAGGTTGAAAGACTGCACTAATTATCCCTTTGACGCTTAATCAATCGTTTAATTGACAAGATTTTTAAAAAATCACTTGATTAATTGACAACATTTTGTAAATATTTAGTGGGATTTATATGATCTTTTTGGTGTATTTTAATTGTACATAACAACAAAAATAGCATACTTTTTTTTTTTTTTTAATGGAGGGGACAAGTATGTCCCAATATGCGCTAAGGGTTAAAGATCACTGTGATTTCTTAATTTATATTATTTGGTTTTCTATGATTATTACATACTATTAGAAATAAAATGCATCAATATCTTTAAAAAAAATGTACTTATAATATTGTTTTTTATGTATGAAAAGCCGCAAAACAGTTTCTGTCAGCTGTAAAACACAAATGTACACCACTTATTTTGCAAACATTATTTGTGCGATTTTCTTTGCGTAGTTTAGCGCACTGAACGCACCTATTTCGTTTTTCTGATTTTATTATCGCATGTGTCGGTAATGACGTCTTTTGGCTGCGGCTGAAGACATTTTGAATGCACTTCTTTGTCATAGACGTCGATGGTAATACATTTTTTCATGAGAATATCCTCCAATCATAGCTCTTGCTGTATTCTGCCGGTATTCTAGCGATGACAGAAGGTTGCCCTCGATTTTATGGTCTTCGTGCATTTTGGCATAAATCGTATACGCATTATTCATTGCGATATCAAGTGTATCAAATAATAATAGAAGATAATATTTAATTCGAGACTTTCGATCGATTTCGTAGGTGACATTTTTTTTGATCCATGAGATCTACTCTACCCATGCTTTTGTTATACTTCCATACAATATCTGGACAAGTGACGTTCAGTTTTTGCGCAGAACCAATTTAACGTCGTATTACTGTTTGTGTCGGAATCGGCGATTAGAAATTCGTTAGCAGACGAACAGCTTTGTTGTCCACCCACTTGACAAATGAAATGCCTTCAAAGCTGGTCGTATAGATATCGCTCCTTTTCATGTTCTTATCAGCAGGTACATTTTTACGTATATTTTTGCGCTGTATACGAACTGTTCCACACGCCTTGATATTGAGATTTGCCAGGTTGTACTGCAGTATAAGCGAATTGAAAAAAATATCGAAGTATACTTCGCATACCAGACCAACCAAAGGCTTCGTCAATTCCAATACGACTGATTCGCCTAAATAAAGTTACATGACCTATTTCTACTCCGGATCTCGTTTTGCCAGTGTATGTGTCAAACTGGAACAAATATCCTGTTGCGGAATCGGCACGACACCATAGTTTAAACACTCTTTTTACCGGTTTGTTTTGCATATATTGCTTCATGATATTGTGACCCTTGAACTTCACCACAAGTTCGCCAACTGACTGTGTAACAGTATTGTTCAGGGCTACTTGGAAGCTAGTATTGAAATGCTTCATTACCCGGCCGGCGGATTTTGAACGCTATATCAAAATCAGGGGACGACGGCGGTGGCTGTACTTCGTTATTGCAAAAATGAAGGTATTTGCGAATTTCTTCGAATCTTGATAAGGGCATAACATTAGCATTAGTACATAAAGGGTACACCCATGTCGGGTCCAGTTGATCAATAATGTCGTAAACTAGGCAAAACATGATAACCCATTATATAATTAATTCCTATGAATGCAGTTATTTCATTGTAATCGGTGGTAAACGAGGAGCCATTTTGTTGTGCATACAGTATGGATTCCGGTATGATTATGTTTTCAATAAGTACTTTGATGTTGGTGACTGCCTCAAATACATCAAAAGAATACGATGGATTGCTGGAGTACATTTATTTTACCAAACTCATAATCACTTTCTGCAAAGTTGTATGGCTTATAGGTGTTTGGTCTCCATCGAAAAATTGGCATTGTAGTAGTAGGGAGCAATGAATCACACGATGCAGTTGATGATGATGATGATGGGGTGCGCGCTGGGTCAAGTGCACCTGCAGGTTCGATAATAACTTGTGATACTCCTCCTGCCATGTCTTGTTCAATAAATGCCTGATGCTCTTCATCCAAAACAACTTCATCTTCACAGTCGCTAGTATCGGCCATTAGGTACTCTTCTATTTCAGAAGAGCCCAATGCATACAACCTCGCTCCTTTGTAAGCCTGAAGCATTACAAAATATTCAGGATAATTTAGCCTAAGTACGTATAAAAAGTAATAAAACACAAACAAGAAAACAGAGAATAGTTGACCGATACTGCATATTGGGACGCCGGTGTCTCTTGCAGTTACTATGGATTTTATTAACTTTACACTTGCAACCTATTACAAAAATATATCTAATATACATATTTACTTACCATTGTAACAAATCACACCACTGAAAATACATTAAAACTTAGAAAACTTAATAAAAATCTTTACCGGGTTTTTTCTTTTTTTTTCGCGCGCAATGTCGGCAACCTTATGAAAAATTAAAGATGCGCTCGAAAAGAAACACTAGAAATTAAATAACAGTATGAATATTGTTTCGATTAAAAAAATAAAACAAAAATAAGTCAGAGACGCCGGCGTCCCATTTAAGTCAAAGGGTTAAGGAAATACTATTTATATAGTGAGCGAATTTCAAATCTCAAATGAAGCGTTATTTCACGCCATACTATAACGACTGGAGTTAAAACTCCACTACCTACCACTGCCGACTCTACAAAGAAACAGGCATAATATAATGTCCAAATCCGTAAATTTTTATTTTTATCCTTTGATTTATCCTGTATACTATTTTCCACTTCGGTGGAATTAAATAAGGCATTAGTCTGACGTCACTTCGTGATGTTAACTTGTCTATCTGAGTGTCTACTTGTATTTTTTCCGGCACCCGTTGAAGCGATAAATTCAGTATTAGGTATTCAGACAAAAGCAACATAAGGTAATGTATTATGTGTATTTGATTGGTAAAATAGGTGTTACGTAACAAGTTGTTCACATTTTACTGCTTAACATGGGTCTACTCTGACACCAAGATTTTGCCATTACTTGAAGTACTCTAAGTATTAGAAACACTCGATGGTACAAGTAATTTTAGAGCGTTAATGTTTATATACATACATTTTTAATTTGTGCACGTTACACAATAATTCCGACTCCATAATAAATTAGGCGAGTATGTTCAAGATAGATGATAACTTTTGTCTTTCTTATTCCTGTCGATTTATAATACTATTAAGTGTTGTATACAGGATCATAGGTACTTAATAAATTACAGTTATTATATGTACAGTACAGTTGGTACAAGATATGTGTAATTTAAAATTTAAGATTCACTTTTTCATTCTTCCACCAATGCAAGCTGTATTCATATCGGGTACTTGTATTATTTATCTGAGAGGCCACTTTTATTTATCATTTTTTCTAGGGCACTAGATAATGGCGCAATATCGACATGCATCTGTCAAATTCTAAGAACTTTTAGATATTGATACTCTTAAGTGCCATAATTCTAGTATTGATACGAGCTACAACCGATAGCAAGTGACATAATTTGCTTCTTTAGATTTAAAACACAGTAATACTTCTTATTTAAGTGACTTATTGTTCCTCTGGTATTGTTGAGACAACAAAATGCATACTATTTTTCTATCCGTTTGGACATTTTTGCTACTGTGCAATGAGAGTATTGCGAGTCCCAGGATAGATCCTTTAGTAGAAACCAAGGTTGGCCTCATACGAGGCCTAAGCGCAAGTGATGGTGACTATTCAATGTTCTTAGGCATACCTTTTGGCGTAGTTAATGAATCCAACCCTTTTGGAGTAAGTGTTTATAAATTCTATTTAGAGAAATTTTGCTTTTACACAACTCACAATATACATTTTTCAGATTACATTACGTCAATGTAACAACTTTTATGAATTTAAATAACGGATCCGTAATATTTTTGCAGCCTTCAACGCCGTATCCAGATTTTGAAGAAACATTTGAAGCGTATTACGATTCTGGAATGTGTCCACAAACGCAATTCGGGGACATAGTTGGTTCATTGGACTGTTTGCAACTTAACATTTACGTGCCAAAATCAGCTAGCTCTCAAAACCGTGTACCCGTCCTGGTGTGGATTCATGGTGGAGGTTTTTCAGGTGGTTCTTCAAATCATTATGGTCCGAAATTTCTTGTCAGGCATGATATTATTTTAGTAACAATTAATTATCGCCTTGGACCTTACGGTTTTATGTGCCTTGGAATACCTGAAGTTCCTGGTAATCAAGGACTTAAAGATCAGGTACTAGCTTTACGGTGGATTAATGATAATATACATTCATTTGGTGGAGACGTGAACAAAATAACTTTAATGGGGGAGAGTGCAGGCGCGATGTCCATTGATTTACACTTGCATTCAGCACAAGACAGACTTTTTAGAAATGCCATTCTGCAAAGTGGAGTGACTTCCTTGCCGGGCTTAGTAAGGCTTCCGAGACCAGAATTATCCTTGCAGTTAGCAGAGAAACTTGGTTTTGTAACAGAAGATGTACTTCAATCCTTGACATTTTTGGCAACAATTGACTCTCATCTAGTGATAGCAGCTGCTTCTTATATGGATTTTGGGAGTTTCTTTCCATGTGTTGAAGAAAAGTTTGATAATATAGAAAGATATATATATGATTACCCAGTTAACACTGGTGTACCTAATGTGGCAAGTATGCCCGTGCTAATTGGATTCAATGACAAGGAGGGGTTAGGCCAATATGCAAATAAAAATTCTGAATACTTTCAAATACACGGTGATTTATTTGCAAACCATTTAAATAATGGTTTTGATTTTGATGACGACAAACTTAACGAAATGGAAACATTAGTACGACACTTCTACCTTGGTGACGAGAAAATAAGTGAAGACGTCAAATTAGCTATTATAGACATGGTTTCAGATTTTTGTTTTAATCATCCGATTCAAAGAATTATAGCAAAGTACCTCGAAAATGGAGCAAATAATATTTACCACTATGTTTTTTCCTACAATGGAGGAAGAAATTCGATGTCGGGGACAAGTAACAGAACAATTGAAGGTGCATCGCATGGCGATGAACTCGGATACCTATTCGATTTAAGTCAATTGCAAGAAGCACCAACACCTGAAGATCAACTAGTAATAGATGGAATGACTACGATGTGGGCAAATTTTGTTAAGTACAGGTAAGTACCGTGAACCACTTTTTTAAATAAAATCCTTTTTCCTCTTGTGCCATATTATCGGAGGTAAATTATCATGATATCTACTTTATTAACCCATTATGTTCCACTGCTGGGCCCATGAATTTGCGGTTTGTCAAAAATTCTACTAAAAAAGAAAAATGACAATCTGTCTATCAAGATAATCTTGTAGTGGAGTAGTTCATCATAATTTATTTATATCTATTGATCTATCTTCTTTAACTTTCTATCCACATGTACCTATGAACGGTTGTTAAATAATAATAAGCGACATTTCTTACTTAATGAGCGTTACTCGTAGATCTATAGATTGTCCGGATTTACTTGCTAAAATACAGCTCCGTGTTAATACAAAAACCTCCGTGAACGACCATTGTTAAACATATCTTTACTTAAAACTAATTACAGACAAAATTCCTTTATATTGCGTGCGTCCTCTGCGTTTAATAAGTGGTGTGTGGACTGTGGATCTCGACCTGCTTTGTACTAGTATAGCTGTAGTAAAACGGCGTTTAACTATAAAAATCTTTGAATGCGTGTAGCAATTGTAGATTATAGATTTTGTGGTCTAAGTGACCGTCATTTACTTTTGCTGCTGATTGTACTTAGTGAGCTCAGGATACAAGAGTTGTAACAACCCCTATTTTTTGTTAATATTTATATGTAAGTATAAGTAAGGGAACTCAACATCAGAATTAGATTTTTTTTTTCTACTTTTTTTTTATAGCCCCGCACTGGGGAAACCCTGTGTCGCGGTAACCGTGGACACACACATAGACAACTACAAATTACACCCAAACTCACGAGAGAAATAAATGTTGACCATACAAATATTTCTCCTAGCCCGGGAATCGAACTTGAGACCTCTGCGTGGCAGTCCGGCATGGTAACCGTTCGACCACAGAGGCAGTCAAAGTTTACTTAGTTTTCTAAATGACTAATTGTCTGTCAGTTCGCCGACAAGAAATTATATAAATAAGTAAATGAAAAAACATCCTCAGCAAAATAATGCAGTATCAATATTAAATGTTGTATTTACTTATTATGTTTCAGCAACCCAACTCCACAAGTGACAGAATTGTTACCAGTACGATGGAATCCAATTGTGAAGAGTTCTCCTTATTATTACATAAATATTGGCTCAGAATTAAAATTAGAACAGAGGCCTTTTCACAACAGGATGGCATTTTGGGATCTCTTCTATAAATTAAACGAAAACTACTTAGGAGGTTTCATGACTAATATGCAATATTGTTAATAGTTTTCCTTTATAAATATATAAAACACGGATATAATGAGGTGAGGCGAGGGGGAATAGGAAAAATTGCAGACGAAATGGAAACCAGTGTACTTTTCGACGATACATTTATTACTAACTAACCTAACCTTACACCTTTCATTACATAATATAATTAACTGTAACGAAGTACTAACATACCATACCACACAAACGGGTGAGTACGGGAGAGTAGAAAAGGAAAAAAAAAATTTCGTTTCAATTTTTTTTTTAGAAATTATATAAATATAAATTATAATCATTTTAAATTGTTTTTTTTTGTATATAAAAAAAATTAAGGTACTTATCTATCTTAGGTTTTGCGCAATCCTAAATCTTAACTAACTTAACTAGATACAAATGGCTTAGTTCCATTTATATGGACTTTATCGTGTTTACCGTTTACAGAGATAACAACATTAGGTTTTTTCACTTCAATAACTCTGGTCCTTTAACACGCTGACAAGCGTCGATGACCTTGAGCGATAACGCGCCTACTAAAATTTCTCCAATAAGATGGCATCATACGCCCCAATGCAGTAAGAGTGTGGTAGTTGGACCTTTCGCTTAATTTAATATAATATTAATTGCCGGTAACAGATGGCGTTGTACTTAAAATACACACATGCTATCAAACCAAAAAATATCAAACCATATAAGAACTGGACATGTTATGCAAACAAGAAACAGCCCACACCTCGAGTGAAATTGAGTTATGTATTTAGGTAGAACACCAGACGTGTCCTTTACCCACTCACAAAGGATCCTGGCATACATACCAAGTCAAAACGGAGAAAATAAAAGTCCTTCGCGGTAACAACCCTAAATAAGTAACTTTTTAATAGCTAAAATGAACCTTGCTGCTTAATTCATATAATGTCTTTTTTAAAATATGCTAAACGGATCCATGTCACATGTACTGAAGTACTGTAGATATTTGGCGTTTTCATTACGAAAACTAGAACATGGTTCTCGTTAACTAAATAAAAAGATGTTTTCTATTTATTGCTATATAATATAATAGTTTCCTATATCGTTCTCACTGCTACAGTACATCGTTTGTCTCAAATAGAGATGCGCCGAGTACAAGTTTTATCGAGTAACCGAGTACCGAATATTACTCGGTTTAACATTTGCCGAGCCGAGTATTCGGCCGAGTTATTCGGTTCATTACAACCGGAACGCGATGGTCCTAAAAGCCCCCGTTGCTCTAGAATTAGGCCGATATGTCAATGAAAGTTTATTGTCGCGAGAGCAGAGTCCGTTCCAATGATGGGCAGAGCATAAAAGAAAATATCCAAAACTGGCACAGTTAGCACGAGTGTTTTTATGTGCACCTGCAAGCACTGTGTATAGCGAGCGGTTATTTGCCGAAGCGGGTAATGTGTATGAAGAAAAAAGGAACAGACTGTTACCTGAACGCGCAGAAAGCCTTGTAAATATTCCTACATCATAACTTGCCTTTGTTAAATTTTAAATATTAATAATGTAAACTTACTTTTGAAATTACTAAATTGCTAGAAATTGTTACAATTGTCTACAATTTCTAGTAATAAATCTCTTTTGAATATTTTAAATATATTGTTGAGTTTACTTTATTATGTCTATAGTTATGGTGCTTTATTTTAACCGAGTACTTTTCTCATGAACCGAGTTATTCGGCCGAGTACACCGAGTACCGAGTAGCAAACGAGTACTCCGAGCATCTATAGTCTCAAATAACTTACCTATTTATTTCGTCACACTGTTTTTACAAAAATCTAATTAACTCGAAAGTGATATTTTGTGGGTTTGTTATAGTTTGCATAACTATGTCCAACAACATATCTCGTAAGTATCGTGCTCGACGGTAAACAGCTGATTACAATACAATATAAATTAATTTGTCAAAACTGGCCAAAACAGAGGTCTAGCAACGTATCCTACGAATGCAAGCTACGCAGCAGAAGTTTTCAACGTTGCATTTTTACTAAATAATCAAGGACGCAAACAATAATTTCATTTTTTGTTATGAATACTTTGTGTTTTAGGTTCTAATCCAACTAAAAATATATTTTTTTTAATCTCACCTAATGGCTTTAACTTAAAAAAAGTCAAACTAAAATTTGACTTTTTTTAATATTTTGTTTTCATTTCAACGAAATGGTCATTATATTTACTTATTTACGTTTTTTTTTGAGTATGATATTTTTTCACACCGTTAAGTGCCTGTCCATAATTCGCAAGCAAATATTTAGCTCGTACTTTAGTAGGCGAAAGTTACTTTTTACTCCTAAATTTGTTATTTGTCTTTTATTTAAAACAAATAAAGTGTCAGAATCAAGATAAGTACCATTTAAATAACAACACTAAATTTGGTAGTAAACCAGTTTGGTTTGCCCGAGAAAAATATGTCAAAAATTAATCACCAGAGTCTCACTGTAATCCAGTTTTTGTATTACCTATGACAATAAGCAATATTCTAGGATTTTCAAGCTACACTTCAAGATACGTGTTATAGGATGTTCAAAGTTCCACGTGCTATGTTATCGCCTAAAAACTTACACAAAAACACCATATTTAAGTGATTTTGGGCACCTCATCGCCTTAAACAATGTTTCTAGTTTACTTCCTGTTTCACTTTTCACTAAAATAAGATCGTCTTTTTTGTATTTCACTGTGTTTACTTTTAAATCCTAATTACACTTCCTAACCTGTTTTGTTTTGATTAAGTTATCATGAGCGTCCTTACGCGCCACTTATAGCCGACATCTTCATTCTCAACTGTAATCGCTAGGGTTGTACAATGGTTCTACGGTTGCACTTATTCTACTGGGTAATTCACATGTTTTACGAAAGACGAGTTCAAAAGGCGTATAATTAGTTGCACTATGTAATGTGTTATTATTGTAAGTAACAGACCAAAATGGTAGCCAGTGGCTCTAAGTTTCTGGATATTTGTTACATTGTGTTCTTAAGTAAGAACCTAAGATTTTGTGAGTATTTTCAAGAGATCCTATCGTTTCGTGATGATAGGCTGTTGATTGAAGTTTTTCAATGTGTTATAGTTTACATACCTCTGTCATTGTAGATGAGATAAATTCGGTTCCTCGGTCCGTGACTATAGTCTCTGGTGGTCCAAACCTAAGTATAAAATTATTAACTAAACTACGTGCTACACTTACCATATCTTTGTTTCTTAATGGATACGCCTCTACATACTTACTCATTTCGCATTGTCAATATATATAGTCAATATATGTATATCTGTAACTCTCCTCATCCTGATCTAATGGTCCCATAATGTCTAAATATAAAATACATACGTGTGGGCCAGTCCACTCTTTTCTATCTTTTATGTCTTGTATTTATTCTTTTGATAAAAAGCTCGTTTTCATCGTTTTTTATAATACATATTTTTTTTACGTTAATTTTCTTACAATACTCACTTAATTTAGTTGAAAGTAGTAGTAGCGTGAAATGCAACTTAAAAGCGAGGTTTATACACATTATATTTTTACGATTTTCAAAGTTAAAACATTCATTTTCCTCAGTTATAAGTCCTTTCTTTTTAATTTTTGTATTTCTTCTCGTTTGCTTAAAATCATCTTCTGGTATCCGTAATATTTCTGCAACGCGCTGTTGATCAGGCCGCTTGGTTGTATCAATATTCGGCTATATATCACTAACCTGACTTTCAATCCTATTTCGTTCCTCCAATCTTTTAGTCTGTGCCCTAATTGTAACCATCATAATATTATTATTCATTTTATTTTAGTTCGTTAGAAGTAAGGATTATGCGCGATAACGTGTCTGCAACGACGTTATCTCTTCCTTTTACATAACAGATGTTAAAATCATATTCTTCTAGTAATAGGCGGAATTTTATTAGTCTGCTTGATGGGTCTTTCATTCCGAAAAGATAAAGAAGTGGTTTATGGTCACTTAATATAGTATTTTTTTTCCGAAGATATGGTCTGAAGTATTTTATTCCCCAAGTAATTCTTTTTGTATAGTTGGGTAATTTTTTTCTGCTTTATTTAATGGACGACTGGCGTATGCCACTGGTCTTAAATCGCTGTTACATAAAAGTGCACCGATCGCTATTCCTGATGTAAGATGAATTCCTTATTTTCACTAAAATCAGGGTATTGCAGTATAGGTGGTGAAGTAAGTAGCTTTTTTAAATATTCGAAACTTTTATTTTGTATAGCATTATGTTGTAAAATTTAATGGTATATTCTTTTTGCATAAATTGGTCAATGGTATTGTAATTTCTGCGAATTTTTTTATAAATTTTCTGTAATAATTACAAAATGCAACAAAACGTCGCACTTCATCAACATTAGTCGGTACTGGGTAATTTGAAACTACTTTATTTTTTTCTGCGTCCGCTAAGACACCTTTGGATGATACTACGTGGCCTAAATATAAAAGTTCTGTTTTTAAGAATTGACACTTAATGGGATTTAATTTTAAATTAACTTTGCGTAGTCTTTCGAAAATGTCTAAAAGATTTTTTTGTGGATTTCTAAATGTCTACCAAACACTACGAGATCATCAAGATAAACGAAACATTTTTCGAAATTTAAATCAGACATCGCTACTCTCATTACCCTAGAAAATGTACTGGGACTTGTGCGTAAACCCATCGGTAGCCTTTTCATTTGGTACTGTCCTGTATCTGTTGTGAAGCTTATACATATATTTGCGACAATCCAGAGTTAATTTAAATTGATAGTAAGATTGACTAAGATCTAAATGTGAAAAATATATAGCTCCAGATAAAGAATCTAAGATTTCCGTTATATTAGGTAATGGGAATTTATCGTCTTCTATAATCGATAACTAATCTCCAACTCTTTTTATCTCTATGCTCTCCCTTTTTTGGCACTAATAAAACCAAAAATGACAATGAAATAATTGGTTATTATGCAAATCAAAATTCAGATTTTTTTGAAATTTCAAATGAAATATTTGCAGAAATATTGCAAACTGGTTTTAATTTCCATGCTGAAGCACTTTTGGAAATGGAAATACTTGTAAAACATTTTTACATTGGTGACGAGAAGATTACTGAAGAACTGAAGTTTGATCTGACTGATATGCACTCAGATTTTAGTTTTAACCATCCTACTGTAAGAAGTATAGCAACTTATATTAAGAATAGAGCAGGTAATATTTACCATTATGTGTTCTCTTACAACGGAGGAAGAAATTTGGTGAAAAGAGAGAACAATGTGACTATCGGAGGTGCATCTCACGCAGATGAACTTGGATATTTATTTGACGTCTCGTTCTGGCATGAAACACCTGAACTGCAAGACCAACTTATAGTGGACAGAATGACTACTATGTGGGCCAACTTTGTAAAATACAGGTACCTATGTAACTTTGAAATTCCTTAATTTTTTCTTATTAAAATTTGTGTCGTGGACTAATCGTACACAAATTCATATTAGTGATATTACTGGGGAAGTTTGAATTATAATACTTTCTCGAAATACATGATTATACATTTGTCTTCAAGATTAGCACGAGATTGGTACTTGCAGTAAGTAACATACGTGTTGCTATTTTCTAGACTAAGTTGAGGGTAAAAACAAATAAAAATACAAAATACGTAAAATACGAAGTAGGCTGATGTTCCGTACTCCTGCTCTCGCTCGGTGATTCATTTAGTGTACGAAATGGTCACACGTATGCATTACTACAAGTACCAATCTCTTGGTAATCTTTCCAGATGAAGCGCTTCCCATAATTACGATCGAACTTAACTTAGAGGTAAGTTCATTTTATCAATAATTAATACACTATATTGTTGCAGCAATCCTACTCCACAAATCACAGAATTGTTGCCGGTCTGATGGGAACCAATAGTGGAAGGATCTCCTTACTATTACATGGACATTAACTCGAAGCTCAAACTTGAACGGAGGCCTTTTCACAGCCGAATGGCATTTTGGAACCTTTTTTACAAACTTAACAAGGAATATATCACTGGTTATAGACAATAATTATATTGAAGTATTTTAATGACATTGCAGAGATATTGTGGGTAAATTTGTCAATAATTTGATATTCTGCCTTCTTTGTCAACAACGCATTTTCATTTTGGAGGTATTTGCACCAAATTTTTTTTTCTTTATAAGAAGTCGCTTTACAACGAAACTGAAACTAAATAAGATATAAAAAAACCGCATATGATTATTAAATATATTAATAACTCAATTTACAAGTATTGTTTACAAAATTAAATGGTACTACTAGAATGTATGGACCAGATACAAACACGATACAATATAAAAATACACTACAACTACAACTAAAATATTTTATGCACATTGAAATGGGGCAAAACTTTTGATTTCTATTTCTTTGCATTATTTTGTCAAAGACATTTTATAGTGCCAGTATTTCATTGGTAAATAGCTGTAGTCATAATAATAACCAGTGATCGGAATTGAAGGAGTTGATTTAAGTAAAGAAGAACGTGGACATTCCCTTCTACAAATCCCGGAACTTCTCGGAACTAATTATGCTTTGATTGAAATTTGAGTGCATTGGCGACAAATTATTATTTCCTATTACATGTTTGCTACAAATTATTGTCTCAAAAATAATATTGTAGTTGTGTTTCAATAGGTATTTACGTATTCAAATACTTCAGTCATTTAAAAAATAAACATCAGAAAACCTATATTTTTCAATGTTTACAAAATAAACATTAAAAAAAGAAATTTTAGACTCATTGATGACGAAATGGGTATGTCCATACTAAGAAAACGTTCATACTTTAGGCAGATTTACTCCCTCAATCCAATCACTGGTGATAACATAATCAATTGATTTATATCTTGATTTCGTTTTTTGAATTAACAAGGATAATGACATTTATAAATAAATCAATATGCTTTCTTAATCACGTAGGATATTTATGAATTATCAGGTACCTACAGATAATTTAGGCAAAAGTACGAGTACCGTTTTTACTGCTTATTACTATTTAGGTTTGAGATATATTATTTATTATTTATATGTTCTTTTCCGTTTCGTTTTATTACACTGGTTTGTTTTATTGTTTTTCTCCCCTTTTACGTTAGTTCAAGTCTCTAAATTAATAGAGGCGACTTAATTTTCGATGAATTTTTACGTCGTTAATTTGAGAGTTGCAACTTGGTCCGTACACAACAGTACATAACAAAACACTTTTAATTCTGTAATGTAATATGAAACAGGAAGATTCCTACTTAGATGTCAGTATGTACGCCATGGAGGTAAAAGATTTAGGCTCAATTTACATTGCCGCAGTACGGAGCGAAAGCGAATTTTTGGAACCAAAGTATAATTAACTTTATGCCAATTGTGTATCGTACAAACTAGATACGAGCTAAAAATCAGACTCACGCAATCTTGCGTGAACCGTAAATTTTTGCATCAACCGTATCGTATCTAGTTTCTTTGTAACACAATAGATGCAAATTTCGTAATGCTATGTACTTTTTTTTTACTAAAGCCAATTTTAGATAATAAACAAAAATTATCACCTATACAGGCAGCACTATTACGAAATAAATGAGAATGGGAGAATATTGGGATTATTCGAATGCAACCCTAATCACTTTAATATAAGATCTGAAATTACGCATTTCAATGCCCAACGCATTGAAATGCGTAATCCCAATCACTTAGTATTCGCGAGTACTGATTGAAATTCTGCTTACGCTCACTATTCTCGAAGCTCACGTATCTAGCACAAACATTATTTAAAAGTTGTAAATTACTTAATTTTTTGTTTTGTGCCTAGTTAGTTAGTTAATTAATTAATTGGCGTCGATTTTACGATACTTCCGTTTCAAGTTAGGGCGCACTCTTCTTATTACTCCTAGTTTAAATTTTTTGAGTTATTTTCAAGATTTTCGCTTTTCAATGCGAATTTCCCAATCAAGGTCTAGTAATATTCCTAATAGTTGAAAATTATTGGCTTCTTCAATATTTCGAGTTCTTGGGTTTTCTCGATTGTTACACATAGGAAATGAAACTATTTTTCCGGATTTAAATTGTGTATATTTGTTTTTTCAAACAAACCAACGTTTCGGGCCCTTTACACCTCTCAGGATGGTCACGGTTGACTGACTGACACGGTTTTTTCAATATTGCTTTAGTTCAGTTTTTGTATGTACATGGTTACGTAGTACAAATAAAACTGTTTACTCACCGAATGCTACACATTGTATTAGAATATGTACCTGCTGTCGCACGGCAAATTTCTTTGTAAACCATTAATTAAAAATGGTTTTGATTTTGATGATGAGAAATTGAAATATTAGTATAACACTTCTACTTTGGTGACGAGAAAACAAGTAAAGATGTCAAATTTGCTATTATTTATATGGTTCCAGATTTTCGTTTTAATCATCCGATTTAAAAAACTATATAGCAAAATGCCTCGAAAATGGGGCAAATAATATTTATCTTTATGTTTTTCCTTTAGGAATTTATTGAAGGAAGAAATTTTGTGTCGGGTACAAGTGATAACACAAATGAAGGTTGCATCACATGGCGATGAACTTGGATACTTATTTGATTTTGGCCAATAAAATTGTTAAACATAGGTAGTACTTTTTTTAAATATTTAAAATCCTACTTCCTCCTGTTCTTATCGGAGACCGACTGACCACATTGGCCCGAAAATTCGTGGTTCATGAAAAATCCCACTAAAAATGAAAAATGACTATCAGTGTATCAAGATTATCTCGTTCATCAGTGTCACATCCAGGCTAAATTATTCATATCCATTGAACCATCTTCATTATGTTTTTATCCATACGTACCTATAAACGGTTGTTAAATAACGCAACTTTAGCAAAATAGTGTAGTACTAATATTAAATGTTGTATTTACTTATTACACAAATGAATTATCAACTCCATAAATCATAGAATTGTTGCCAATACAATGGGATCCAATTTGGAAAAGTACGCCTTAGTTTAGAATTAAAATTGGAACGGAAGTCTTTTCACAACAGGATAGCGGGTTGGGATCATTTCTACAAATTCAATGAAAACTGTTATGGAGGTTACATGACAAATATGCAATATTGTTAAACTATTAACGATATTGCATATTTGGAGACAATTTTTTTAATGATTAGGTGTTCTTAGGGTAAGTGTTAAAACCTAAAACACAAAAAGGAAAATACGTCCAAACAGGTCGGACTTTATTATTAGACAACAAACATGAGTAGATATATACAAAAAGAAAAAAGTATAACTATAATATAATATGTAACAGTGACGAAAGCCACTTTTGCCACTTTTATTTAAAAAATAAAGTACTAAAAAAGAACTGTTTTTCAATCGTCTATAATGTCAAGTCCCGCGAACAAACTTAAATACTTCTTACAAAACTTTATTTTCTTTTATTATAGACGTTGGTATGCTGTACGTATATATGTCGCAGCCAAATTGTTCTTACGCTGCTACAGCTTACAGCTTTCTGCACTGGTGATATAATAAGTAAATTTATGAACTTCCTGCTTTTGGTATAATGAATTTGAAATGCGAATAGAATAAGATACCATTCTGCGTTTTTAAGCATACGCAACATCTTATTTTAATTTCATGATATTGCTTTCACGTCTGTAAACTCTAGCAGCAATACCTGTAAAATATTGAAAATCATGTGTTATATAATAATATGTACATAGTATTTTTTCGATTTGTTTAGCGACTAAATTTGTAGCTTTTGCTGTTGACAATATTGTCACGGCTACTTAAGTTTGGCTAGTTACCAGATGGGATTTAAGCTGTAACAAATACCAATAGCATGTTAGATTTCTCTCTTTCTAGAAAATTCCTGCAAATCACACTACAGTATTGTTATATCAACGCCACTTCAGATTTAAGTACCACTTCAGATACATAAGATATATATATATATATTTGAAGTATTTAGACGTAGGAATGTTAAGTGTAGTATTTACCTGGCGTCGCATAAACTACAATGTGTTCAAATTTTTTTATAGGTTTTGGATTTTTGCTATTATGTAATGGAATTATTGCGAGTCCTAGAATAGATCCTTTAGTGGAAACGAAAGTTGGCCTCATACGAGGCTTAACAGCAAGTGATGGTGATTATTCCATGTTTTTGGGAATACCTTTTGGTGTAGTTGATGAAACCAACCCCTTTGGCGTAAGTTAATTTAAATTTAACAACAATTTTAAGCTTGAGTAAATATTTCATTCCATAATCATAAAATTGTAATATAATAAATTGCTTATTCGATGAAACTTATGACTTGATATATGGATGTATAGCGTTAACGCTTAAATAGTCGATTTCTGTTTTAGCCTTCAACGCCTTATCCGAAATTTGAAAATACTTTTGAAGCTTATGATGATTCCGCAATATGTCCACAAATTGAAGAATTCAACAACACATTAGTCGGTTCACTGGACTGTCTGCATCTCAACATTTACGTACCAAAGTCAGCCACTTCTCAAAACCGTGTACCCGTCCTTGTTTGGATCTATGGTGGAGGTTTTTCGATCGGTTTCTCAGGCAGGTACCTCTATGGTCCGAAATTTCTTGTTAAAAATGATATTATTTTGGTAACAATCAATTATCGTCTGGGACCTTACGGTTTTATGTGTCTGGGCACACCAGAAGTGCCTGGAAACCAAGGACTTAAGGACCAACTATTAGCTTTACGATGGATAAATAATAATATTGAGTCCTTTGGTGGCGATGTAAACAAAATAACTATTATGGGCGAGAGTGCAGGTGGAATATCGGTTGATTTACATTTGTATTCAGCTCAAGAGACTTTGTTCAAGAGTGTCATTTTGCAAAGTGGAACTGCATTTTTACCAGGAACTTTAACCGAACCAAAACCTGAATTGTCTTTGAAGTTATCAGAAAATCTTGGATTTACAACCGATGATGTTTCTGAAGCCTTGACGTTTTTATCATCTATTGACCCACATTTAATTATTGCATCTGCATCAACTGTAGATAGATTTTGGCCTTGTATTGAAAATCAATTTGATAATACGGAAACATTTATTACTGATTACCCAGTTAATATGGAAATTCCAAAAGTTAGAAATATGCCCATTTTGATTGGATTCAACGACAATGAAATGATAACTCATTATGCAAATCGAGATACTGAGTTTTTTGAAATGCATAATGGTATATTTGCAGAAAGATTGAATAGTGGTTTTAATTTCGATGCTGATACACTTTTGGAAATGGAGATGTTTGTAAGACACTTTTACATTGGTGACGAAAAGATTACTGAAGAATTGAAGTTTGTTCTTGCCGATATGCTTTCAGATTTTGGTTATAACTATCCTACTGTAAGAAGTATAGCAAATTATATCAAAAATAGAGCAAGTAATATTTACCACTATGTGTTCTCTTACAACGGAGGAAGAAATTTCGTGAAAAGGAAGAATAACGTGACTATCGGAGGTGCAGCTCACGCTGATGAAATTGGATATTTATTTGATGTCTCGTTCTGGCATGAAAAACCTGAACTGCATGACCAGCTTATATTGGACAGAATGACTACTATGTGGGCAAACTTTGTAAAATATAGGTGCGTACGTAACTTAAAAAGCCTTAACTTTTGGTTTGATTAAAAGAAATATCATGGACAATTATTCCTTAAATAATGTAAGGCCTAATTGTCCACTATTGTAACTAATTAGTACACAAATTTATAATGGAAATCCTTCTGGGATTATAATAGTAATATTTACTCGATCTAATTACACTATATACTGTTGCAGCAATCCTACTCCACAAATCACAGAATTGTTGCCGGTCCGATGGGAACCAATAAACGAAGGATCTCCTTACTATTACTTGGACATTAACTCGGAGCTCAAACTTGAACGGAGGCCTTTCCACAACAGAATGGCGTTTTGGGAGCTTTTTTACAATCTCAACAAAAAATATGTTACGGGTTATAGGGAATACTGACATTGAACTGTTTCATTGCGGAGATAGTATAAGCAAATTTGTCAATAGTTTTATTATTTTGCCTGATGTAGTTTTTTACAAAATTAACTGGTACTATTATAACCTATTGTTCAGACATAAACACGATGCAACATATACTAAAATTAGTTGTATATCTTTACTTTACACAAACTTTTGATTTATATTTACGTTATTTGCCAGAAACATTAAAATCTCTGTTTATCATTAGTAACTTTGAGGTGGTAGTCACTGCGCTAATATTATACTTAATTAAATTATATCTTGATTTCGATTTTAGATGAAAAACTATATACATATATAATTTTTAGGAATTTATCAATAGTGCCTTTTTAGTCAATTAGGATGTTAGTGTATTATTAGGTACCTACAGACACTGACTTTGTATAAACACCGTAGTACCGATTTTATTAATTTCTCGCTAATGCTAACTTATTACTACTTATTTTTAATATTTTCACTAATCTTTGTTCTATTCTGTTTTGTTTTATTACACTGATCAGATTTATTGTTTTTTTTTACTTGTATGCGGATATGTAAATTAAAAATGGGCACCTAAACAGACAACGTTAGAAAGAAAGATGGGAGAATGTTGGGATTGATCCAACGCCATTATTTTACGCTTTAACATAAAAACTATAATCTTAGTACAGAGTACTAAAAAAATCGACCTCAAAAGTAGGTACGTGGAATTACACATAATTACCAAGTTTTATTGAAATCGGTTACCGGAAAGTGCGCAAACCCGGAGTCATCTTTTAGTTCGCCACTGTACGGGACTTGACACAAGAGATAATAAAACTCGGTTCTCACTACTTAAAGTATATTGAGAGAAAAACGCCTTGAATTAGAGAATAGCAAAATCAACCATTAAAATAATTGCTCCTTATAATAAAATTTAGGCGGTATTTATAAAAATGAATGAAAACCTTTAGAGTTGGATGATTTTCTTCAAAATTAAATTGAACCACTATGGAGGTATCCCCTTTCTAACAAAAAAAGAATCATGAAAATCGGTTCACAAATACCGGAGTTATCGCGTAACATACATGCAAAAAAACATACAGTCGAATTGAGAACTTCCTCCTTTTTTTGAAGTCGGTTAAAAATTACGTTTTTTATGCGTTCGTCCGCAGTCACTTAGAATTTCTCGAGTACTGCTTGAAATTCTGCTTACGCAGACCACTATCGGGGCTCACACTTACAATTTTTGTTTTCGGCTTATGTAAAAATAGTCAATAAATTGTAATCAAATCATTAATAAAGCAAAAATGTTTTATATTATTATGAACATGTCCTTGGCGTCGTTACTTCGTTTTAGCATGTAGGACGCAATATTTTTACTAATTTTAATGCACTGTTTTTATTTTTCAATGTGAATTTTCCTATTAAGCTGGAAGTCTATTGATATTTTTGATACACTTAATGGTTTAAATTTACTGATTTCTTCTCTAGTTTAGTTTTTATAATTGAACATCTGGTACCAGTGTACCAGTAAATAACAAAGTGCAGTATAGATAAATAACAAATAAAAAGGTTTAGTTACCGAATGCTATGTATAATACTAGAATATTTACCTACTGTTTCTCTTACTCAAAGACTGTAGGAGGAAACTGCCTTGGTACGGCAATGTCATAAAATATACATGTAGCAATACAGCGTAAGGTATGATTCTAGTTGCGCACGCGGACCGCTATATTTTATTCACCTGTTTGTTTCTACTCTTGATTATTTGATGTACCTGTGCTCTAAATGGGGGAGCATTGTTTTGCTCAAGAAGACTTTACAGATATACTTATTATTCACAGGCCGTTCCACGGCAATGGGACATGTAAGGAAAGTAGTTCAAAATATAGATAGGGTATTTTGCTCCATGGAGACATTTTATTTTTAAAAGTTTGTGATACTGCTTTTAAATACTTTTCAAAGTTGCTTGCTAATTTAGGAAATTTCGTCAAACTGATGAAATGTGAAAAACAAACCTGTATTGTCATGACTCCGTCGTTCGAATAGTTAATTATTAGTACAAAGAAAGAAAAATTCATTCGATCCCGCTAGACTCGAATCAGCGATCTCGCCTTACTGTGGCTAATGGTCTACTAATTGAGCTACGGAACGAACCATCAGACTTTACGAATTAAGTAAGTGCTTGTTGTAGATTATTTATTTTTGGTTTTTAACGCCTTTTTAGCCGTAGTGCTATCTATGAGAAATCTATGAAAATTTTTCTTCACTATGCAACTACCAAAATAAAATAATTGAATATCATAGTTGTAATCCATCGTGATATTTAATAAATTAATATTACAAAGTTTCTTTAATTTACAGTAACATGTAAATAAATAAATGTGGTAGGAAAAACTTGATTGGAAAAAGACAAATATTTCGCACGGAAAAAACAAGGATAAGAAAAATGTTTATATAAAATTACATAAAAATGTATATTACTTCAATTCCATTACGTTTATCTGTAAGTAGACTTTTTTCGACACAAAAATTCGCCGTATCTTGTACAGCAACTGTGATGTTGTACGTATATTACATAGGGATTTGTTGGTAAACTTATTTAAAAAGCCCTCCAAGCGGTTTTCCGTACAGATAAACACGAGACCTTACGATCTGCATATCAGGTGAGCCCAGCTAAGGGTCGGCTGTTTGTTTGGTTTCCATTACACGACTACTGTGACAACGTACAGTTTATGCTTACAGTAACAAAAGTCAATAGAAACGTTAGTACAAAAAATAATGCGTTGATTGAGAAACGCCTAGAGCTGTCTATCATGTCCTAACGTGTTAGTTATGCTAACATAGGGCCAAGTTGCCAGTATTTTTGGTATACAGCCAGATGTACTTATATGGGCATGTCAGTGGGTGCTTTTTTACGTTATCGAGTGACGTAATGAACAATTCGTATCCCTGATGGTAAGCGACTGTCGGTTTATAACAGTTGTAATGCCACTCAGAGCTTTAATTATTAAAGTTCTGAGGAGAACTGTCGTTGCGCCCGCCACCCTGAGACATAAGTTGACAAATCCCATGAGCCTGTAATGTCATCAACACCTTTACCCTTCAAACCGGATCGCAGTAATGCTCACATTACTGCTTGGCGGCAGAAACAATACCTGGATGAACTCTTTCACAAGGAGCTCCACTTCTACTAAAACACAAAATGGCCGGCAGTGTACATGATGTAATAAGCTAGATATGTTCTTAAATCACTTTTCGGATTGTTGCAGATAAAGACAGTTATAGAAGTTGAAAGGAAACATCTTCGTGCAGCAAAAAAAAAACCTAGCTTTAGTTCTGGTATGGCGTTTTGGCGTCTGTTATTCTTTTGTATCATATTGTTTTGGTAAAACAAAAACTGTACAAATAAGTATAAAAATATGAAATTCTATTTCTATTCTTATCATCCTGGCTCTAAGCGAGTTTGGAGAGTTTACATGCCTGAAAAGGCTTGTGAATTTTCCACATGACGTGTTTCTTTAACGTTAAAGCAGGTGATAATAATGAGGGCGATGCAATAGTCAATGTTGCGAAATATGGCCTAATTATAAAATTTCTGCTCCTAAACTTTTCCTTCAAAAATGCTAAGAACTTTATGATCTTGTGCTCTTCAAAACTTGCGCGTACAAAATTTGTACCTAATAACCAATTTTATTACATTGCATGTACAAATACATTATTATTATACCTGGTCTTAGCCGTAGAAGGTATTTCACTGACCAATACAAATGAACATGCTGTAAAGGTACCTGTATTTCGTTTTTCGATATCTGTGGGTGGCAGACGCTACGCTACTTTTTTAGAAAAACGACCATTGGTATGTCTGAGAATCCCAGAGATTAAATAATAACATTACAAGATTGCAATTGAATTGTTTATATACTTTCTACGCTAATAATAAATAATTCAAAAGTAAAAAAAAAACAAACTAGACTAAAACGGATTTTTTATGTCACGTGGCAAATTCGCAGAGAGAGTACCTCGGTTATTTACTTTTCAAGTTGTTAACAGCAAAATGGCCTTCTTTTTCGATGTGCAATTGTATATAAAGCATTCCCCTTCCTTTTTTAATATGGCAACCTTCCAACTATCATCGGATCATGTCGAATGATTTTAATATTTCTGAACGCATCGAAACGACAACAGCGCCACCCTCTCACCCATTTTGAATTGAAGTGACTTTTGTCGCCGTTACGCGACAAGTAGTATTACGGTTGTGACGTCATAAACCTGTACTGCCGTTCCTTTCTAACTCTGATTGCGAACTTTCGACACGTGTTTTCACATTGAAATATCAATATAGTTTTCCAAACTTGTCAAAATCAACACATGAGCGCCTGGATCCAAGTTTGTTCTTAGCGCCATCTTTACCAAAGTCCTTTAAGTTCTTCATTTGTTTTTAAGACTTTCATGGCTATTCAGCAAATAGTTATCACCATTTTCGTACCACGGTGTGACTTTCTTTTATTTGCTAACCATTCCGTAGTCACGGTTTCTCTGGCTAGCGACAGAAGAGTTCATGTTAAAGCTGTAACCACAACACAGGTTACCTTAATATTCGATATGTCTGTTCCAAATTCCTACTGGAATAGAAACTTATGCTACACCTGTACTCCTCCCAAGCTAGTAGTGTGCATAATTTAACCCTCTATTCTATTGTGTGGTTGCTATTTTATTCACAGTATATCTCCCCGGCCATTGAGTTTAGGCGCTTTTAATTTTTCAGAGGATTTTGCAGAATAGAAAACGTTTAGGCACAAGAGCGTACTAAAAAGAATAGATGCATAAAATATAAATGACTTCTCCTTGTTTCAATGTTCTCGAATGCCATTTGCGAAAACGTTTTAAGAAAAGTATTTGATCGACTTTGAGACTACTGAGTATATTCCATTGTTTATATTTTAGTGTAATACAATCTCTAAATGTTGTGTTGTGTTAACAGTTAAAATAGCCTGAGGTGTTTCACAAAACTACATTTACAAATGTTTAATATATTTTGTTAATAAACATCGCGTATATTTGATTTTTTTTTCAAACGTTTTTTTAACCGACTTTAAAAAACGAGGGGTTTTTTTTATCACCCATTTTGTTTTTTATTATTTGTTTGTTACGCGTTTACACCGGCATTTGTGAACCGATTGATTATTCTTTTTTGTTGGAAAAAGGGTACCTCAGTATTGATCCTATTCCTATCCCACTAGAAAGAGTGGCAAACTAGGGGATGAATCCGGTTTCGCGTACTTTCCGGTACCCGATTTCAATAAAACTTGGCAAATAGAGTGATTCCACGAACTTTTGAGGTCGGTTCTTTTTATAAAAAAGTTAGTAGTAGTTAATACTGGTTTTGTGGTTACGGTTGACTTGAAAATATTTATTTATTTATTTCTCTCATTTTCCATCTTTTCTTATGAACGATTGGTTTCTGTATCGTTATGTTCTGCATTTTTTAATATTTTACTTAT